TGTGTCTCATGGAGAGCAAGCTGGGGTATGCAAAAAGACAAATTCCTAATGCAAAAAATTCTATATGGCTAATAAAGTGATCTTATCTATCTTATTTGAAATACTGAGTATTATAAATAGACACTGATCATAAAGGTTGTGAAAAAAATGACACCCTCAATACAATGCAAGAAGGAGTGTCTTGCACTTGCAATGTTCCTCACAATGGATGTTACTGTCAAACCAAAAGGATTTTTCACCAGGACACTGTCCTCTGTGTGGAGTTATACAAGTTGCGTGTATAAGTCCACGTGTGCTGTGTCACAAATCAGGACATTTTTAAACCCAGTTCATTTCATGTACAGTAATGCATAGTTCTGTAGATACCCGATGAATTATAATAAAAAATATAATACATAGTATAATAATATAAATGACAACATTCATAGATGAACAATAATACTATTTTAATAAAATATAATATTATATAAAATATAATAAAATGTTACAGTTTCATAGTTTAATATCTGATACATCCCCATTACAAATGGTGATGCACAAAAGTGTGAAAAGCACCCATGATCAGTTGAGGTGCATCTTGTTTGGTTTTTGGTAACAACTAGTGACAAGATAGTGAATTTCAGAAATTATTATGTGGTGTTTCACACAGATATGCTAATCTGCTTTTCAATCATGCTGCCCTGCAGTTCCTCCCTCAGGCTTTATTATACAGTATATTTTGATTACATGCTTTGACATGAAGAGACAAAGATAAAAGACAAATATTTACAATCCAAATATTTTGGGATTTTGTGGGTGGCATATACATTACTCAAATATATATTTTTTAATTTTCAAAGGTTTATTTAAAATGAAACAGGAAGTGTCTCCTTCACAGCATGTAGGTTTTAACTGCGCATAAGCCGAATAAATGGATGAAAAAACAACATTTCCCAATAAATCACAGAAATTAAAGGATTCTGTGAAGTAATATCCAAAGATATCCAAACTGTACATGAAATATAGTATCATCGTCATTTTTGCATGCTGCCGTAATCTTGATGCCATTAGTTAATACCACTGTTTTGCAAGTGATCATTACAATTATATTAAAACTTCTGAATGGGTCTTCAATGGCAAACTATAATATTAATGATTTAAATATACTGATCTTAATATACTGTAGTGCAGACCTACTGTATATCAGCTAGACTGAAACTTACAGTATGTGACAAAGTCAATCAAATCACAACTCAAAATTTTATTTTAATGTGGCCTCTTTTTTTTCCTTCTTTCTTTGGTGTTAAATATCATGCTTCTAAAGCCATTATGTACATTTTATAATTCGTATTTAAAATAAAATGATCTGTTTTCTAATTACAATTTATAAAATTACTATTAATTCTGTATACTGTATGCAATGAAGAAAATACAATTCTCTTAGTCTTATACAGGATTGTAACATACCTCACTTGGAGTTGTGGTACAGTAGCAACACACTGTACTTTTAAGGGTATAATAAATGTCAGCAAAACTAAAGGGAAAAATGAAATATATGAATTGCATACTGTAAGTGTTCAGACCTGTGAACTCAATATTTGGTGAAAGCACCTTTGGCTGCAGTTAAAGCTGTAACTCTGGGTAAATTTCTAACAATTCAGCATACTGAATTGTTGCACACTTTGTCCACTTTTCCTGTCAGAGCTCCTCAAGGTTTCTCAAGTTGGTTGGGATTCACTTATGTATAGACATTTTGCACAGATTTCAAAAAAGTCTTTCCACAGAAATTCAGTAGAATTCAAGCCAGGACTTTGATGAACCATTCAAGCACATTCACTGCTTTATTCTTAACATTATGCTGCTACAGCAGCGAGTCATAGACGATGTTGGGTTTGCGTAAAATGTTATGGTTTGTATTTACAACAAAATTTTCAAATTTTGTCTTATCTGAAAACCTGGCCTTCAGTTCCACACAAGCCTCCTTTGGGGAGAGATTAGGATTTTATTAACCCATGGACATTTCCTTCTATCTCAGCCACTGAATTCTCTCTTTCAAAGGTGCCGTTGCCCGCAAGATGGAATCTTAACCAGCTTCACCCTTGTGGCTGCGCGGTTTGGATGATCAGCCTCATAGGCATAGGCTGTGTCTGGGTGCCCTCCACTTCTTCATGATTAACTTCAAAATAATCAAAGAGATCTAATCTCTTTTATGAAATATTTTATACCCATCTCCTAATATGTGCCTTTATACAGCTTTGTCCATTTTAAAGATCATTGGTCTTCATGCTTGAATCTTTGCTTGAAATTTACTATTTGACTTAAGGACTGCACAGAGTAAGTTTGTTTTTTTAATTCTGAAACCATGTGACTATTGGTCCTTATAGGGTTACTTTGTAATTTTGTGCACTTACAGTACATTAATTTAGGTTTCTCACAGCAAAGGATTTGAATACTTACAGAATTATGACTTTTCAATTTTTCTTTATTAATTCTTTATTAATCTATTTACTTGTTAATTTTGGTTTTATGCTTTGAATGTGTGCTTTTGAGAAATGTGCATGGGTCTTTGTACTTTTGCAAGGCAAATCTGTGATAAATTAAGAGCTGTTGGTTAATTATCCCACATAGAAATAATAAAGTTTTACAAATGTCAAGCAATGCTTTCATTGTTGTTTGTTTCACTGCTGTTTATTATTCCCCAGTTACTAATTTTAGAAAGTGACTTTTGTTAATGATACATCGGATATTACAACCTTTTTGACAACGTAATCAGTGATATTGACCAGCTGTTTTCTTGTTCTGATTTTTGTCAGGGATTTAATCTGATAGATAACAGAAACTTAATGCACATGGTCATGAAACATTAGTATAAACCACTGCAAAGGGATTCTGCTTAATTTATAAGTTAATATTATTCAATTTCAGTGCAAATTTTAAATCCTTCCTTTCTTAAAGG